CTGGTTGGAAATTTGTTTGCAGACCCGTATGGAAATTGGGTTGGAAAACCCATTTGGAAACGCGTTTATACACCCGTTTGGAAACTCGTTTGGAGACTTGATTGATAAAAACGTTTGTAAACACCGATCTAACCTTGGTTGGAAACTCGTTTGCAGAACCGTATGGAAATTTGGTTGGACACCCGTTTGGACACTCGGTTGGAATCTCGATTGAAAAGCCATTTGGGAATTCCGGTTGTTGGAAATTCCCACCGTTTGTGTGTGATATGCCACACTTCCCAAGTACCACTCCTGTTAAGCCTGCTGGTTAGACCTGGACGAGATCGAGACAGCGGCCCATCTATTTCCGATGCCTGTTTATGATGCATATTCGCAGTTTCTTCATTTTCACGCGAAACCCCATTCACACAAGCCATCTCGCCGCTTCGAGACACCCTCTGCGAGCCCTCCCTGAGGGCCGGACTCCACTCCATCTGCGGCTAAACCCATCCCTCGGATTCATTGGGGTCGTGAGGTGATGCGCCGATGGTTCATTTGTTCATATCTACAGTCAACACTTTGTGCCAATCCTCTCTTTGACCTGGGGTCAGTCCGATTGACCAATCCCCTTCATGTTCCCTCTTCAGACGTCGATGTATCCACGGCATCTTCGAGTTTAGCTCTCGGGCTCAACATCGTCGTTAGGGTCGTGAAGAGACGGTGCAAGGAGCACAGCTTCGAGGATCAGTCTTGGACGGTCTCGCGGGCTCAAGGGTCCAGCGAGTTGGTGCTTGTGTCCACTCGGCCGGCACAAAGCCTCCATAGCTGGGGCCAATCAAAGGAGTCGCATTCGAGTGCACCGAGCCTAAAGTACACACACAAACGGCGCCAGCCACAGATTGCGGACAGGCTGTATGCTGAAGGGTGAAAGTACACCTCCAAGCCCGGAGACGACATGTGATTCGGGACGAGCACAACAGGTACAATCAAATCGGCGAACTTGCCACGTTCAATCTAACACAAAACATGTCAACACGATTTATTAACTCTCGCATCACCGCCGTGTCTCGAGGAGCTGATTTGTTATTCTCCCGATTTCAGTTGCCTTCTCTTGCCTCAGATCTTGTATCCGCTTAACCGACACCGAGCTGGCTTCACCCCCACTCCCCCTGTGAGGTCAGAAGGCTATCCGACACGCGGCGTCTTCAATCTCCGGAGAGGTCAAAACCAACATTTTTGCTCAACCCATTCAAGCCAAGTTGGTAGCAACCTTCATTTTATTTTGCACAATAACTGTGAAATCAAGTACAGCCAAACATATGAACACACACACACACAAACATATATATATATATATATATGTGTGTGTGTGTGATAAAGTAAAGCAGAATTAAGACCACTT